GGAGTTTGCCAAAGGAGGCAGTGCTCAACTTAGATACTTTTGTCAGACCTGCCCATATGTCTACAACATAGATCGCAAGGTATGTGTCTGGTATCGCCAAAAACATTATTGCATTCATCTGGGTCCATCGGCATTCGAACTCATGTCTGTTTGCTAGCAGTTGCATGTGTGTCACGTGGGCGCCTATCGGACGCACGAGAGGCATGTGTGTACCATTCACAGCCACAAGAAGAGGAGGAAAATCGGATTGGTTTTTCGTGTTCCTCTGCGGCCCATCAGGATTGGAACTCACGATCTGTCTGTTTGCTTGCAGTTGCATATAGTGTGTTATAGTGTGTACCATGCAACGACTGGTGTGGCACTGTGAGAGCAATGCGGGTGTTCCCTCACTGGCAACTGCTGCCAGTCCCACATCAGCATACTGAAGGGCTGGGGTACAGCGTTGCTCTCGCACGAAACACTGTGGTGCCAGTCCCACATCAGCATACTGAAGGGCTTAGGCGAGGGCGAGGTTCGAGTGGGTGGGTGGGTGGGTGGGTGCTCTTTGGTATCGTACATATACATGCAGTAGAGAGATGAAGAGATGACCAAATAAAACAGGGAAGTGATGACAGAGTTAGCGATGATGAGATGAAGGGGGGGGGGGGAGAGAGGGGGGGGGGGAGAGAGAGAGAGAGAGAGAGAGAGAGAGAGAGCTGTCTCTTATACACATCTAGATGTGTATAAGAGACAGAAAAAAGTAAACTTGGTTCTGGGACCAGTACCCATCTTAGGTGCAGGCCTTGGGACACTGTGGTCTAGTAGCAGAATGGCCAAATCAAGACCGCTGCCCTGACTCATCCCAACCCTGGGAAAAAGAAAACCAACAAGGCCTCTAAAATGCAAACACCTGTCTCTTATACACATCTAGATGTGTATAAGAGACAGCTATGGTCTAGTAGCAGAATGGCCAAATCAAGACCGCTGCCCTGACTCATCCCAACCCTGGGAAAAAGAAAACCATCAAGGCCCAAAAAAGCCGAACATTTTTGAGGTGGCCGTCAGCCAAAAGTNGAGAGCAGGTTAACCGAGCACCCATTTTTCAGGCCCATTTATAAGAAAACCAGACAGTCATTTTAACAACACTTCACACCAATCTATAGAGTGCACTTCTTACGACCCCATCACAGAAAAAAACCCTAAAAAAAGCAATTAAAAACATATAAAACAGCAAGCCAAAGGTGCATTTCCATGATAGGAAAACGGGATCAGCAGTCTAATGTGGCGGTGTTTTGATGGGGGGGGGGGGAGAGGGAAGTGTTGCAGCAAACAATGAATTCGCCGGTTCAATTTTTTTCCTTTCTTTTGTCTTTTACCACGCTTTCCTTGGACAAAACTTACTGAATTGGGAATGCTGGTTTAGTATGGATTCACATGAAATGATTGTATGTATGATGCGGCCCTCTTGCGAAGCCAATTGCCCAAACTATTAATTTCTGTCCGTTGATGTTCATCATCAGTGGTTCGAGATGGAGAAGATTCGAAGAAGATTCGAAGAAGAAGAATCGAAGAAGAATTGAAGAAGAATCGAAGAAGAAGAATTGAAGAAGAAGAAGAAGAAAAGTTTTTTTCTCTCTTGACTTGTAGACAACAAAGGAGTGAAGTTTGTGAAGCTTTGAGCCAACAGGCAGAATGCCATGAGAATTCTCCCTTCGGGGCACATTTGTAATTCTTATGACAGAAGTCATGGTGTATCAACTGCTTTCAAATTAGTGGCTTCAAGTTGATGATGCTGACGTGAAGGCTTTTGAGCAAGACGTGTCCCTTTGTGCGGAGTGACTGACTCGCACGTGGCTGTTTGACTAACTGACAGGTGTCAAAGAAGCTGCCAATCAAGAAGAAGGAGGTAGACGATGTTCTTGGTGGAGAGGATGCATGGAAGAACGTCGACAAAACAGATGGTATTTCTTGGCTCCTCATCGCGCTAGCAACTCTCTCTTTCCTTAGCTACCTTCTTTTCTTTCTTCTTTCCTCCCTTCCTCCTTTCTTGTTTCTCTGCCCTTAGCTACCCTTCCTTCCATCCCTCCCCCCTTCCCCCCTTCCCCCCTTCCACCCCTCCCTCCCTTCCTTCCATCTCTCCCCCCTTCCCTCCCCCCCCCCCCGCCCCCCCCCCCCCCCCCCCCCCCCCCCCCCCCCCCCCCTCCCCCCCCCCCCCCCCCCCCCCCCCCCCCCCCCCCCCCCCCCTCCCCCCCTCCCTCCCTCCCTCCCTCCCTCCCTCCCTCCCTCCCTCCCTCCCTCCCTCTTTGCCTGCCTCCCTGGCTCCCTGCCTCCCTGCCTTGCTTGCTTGTACATTCACATGTACTAGTAGGCAGAGTCTCGACCTGCCCCTCTTTGATGCCATTCCCTGTCTATAGGTCTGCTTGCCGCCTAACAGGCAGAGTTTCCACCTGCCCCTCTTTAATGCCATTCCCTGTCTAAGGCTCTGCTTGCTGCCGCTTCCATTATCTCCTCATGCGTCCCATTCCAACCAGGGAGCTAAAAAATTCTTGCATGGCATTTTATGAAAAGTCATTTTGTCAAATACATGCGTTATCTGTCCCTGGCCAAGGGTCTTAACCTTACCGCCAAATAGACACGTCCACATCAAGAAACCGCTTCTCGATTCCTGGCACTGTGCTACAGAAATATTCACAGAGAGAGCATAAGATAGGACAAAATGGGACATAATAGGACATGATAGGATAGGATAGGATAAGATAGGGCAGAATAGAATAGGATAGGATAGGATAGGATAGGATAGGATAGGATAGGATAGGGCAGAATAGGATGGGATAGGATAGGGAAGAATAGAATAGGATAGGATAGGATAGGGAAGAATAGAATAGGATAGGATAGGGAAGAATAGAATAGGATAGGATAGGGTAGGGCAGTGCATAATAGGATAGGATAGGATAGGACAGGGCAGAATAGAATAGGATAAGATATGATAGGGAAGAATATAATATAATAGGATATGATATGATATGGAAGAATATAATATAATAGGATAGGATAGGATAGGATATAGACAGGACATGGATATAATATGGATAAGAAAGGGCAGACTAACATGACGATCCGATAAGGTAGAAACAGGACAGGCTGGGGACAATTTCAATTTAGTGACTCGTTGGACTTGGGGCCATGGCTGGTTATTCATTTTTGTACCTGCTTCTACTACTTGGAATGACACTCCACCGCGTTCCGGTCTAGTATAGCACATATTAGGCTGGTCTAGGATAGCACATATTAGGCAGGCTATCTTCCCCTTCATCTTTTGGGCCCACTCTACCGGTAGCGTTGGGAATGTTCATCTGGTCTCGTCCTGTATAGACAATCAAACAGATAACTTTCCCAACACTACCGGTAGAGATTCAGCACAAGTAGTGGAAGTGACCCGAACAACTCTGGGAGCTCTCAACTATCGTGGAGGCTTTTGATCTGAATCAACTGTGCGTTGATTGATCGGATAGCAGGTATAGTATGGCAAAGGTGGGTGCCTATGGAGTAGGTAGCGCATCTAGCGTAATCATACGAAAGGCAGCACCAGGGCTTCTTGCATTTCGGCAAATGCTTCGTCCTATCTTTGTTGTTCTATTCTGCATGTCGCTTGATACTATCTTTTGATTGAATTCATATGCCTCTATTCTTGCCCATGTCTTCGTGTACACATGGCTGTGGATACAACAGTTTCCATTTTTCCCGTCATTTGGAGATTCTTCTTTCTGAAGTATCTCGAAGGGATTGTTGGATGAGTTGGCACCCACATACGTGCAACCTGTTGTCAGACCCACCGCTCTCTCCCTCTCTCTCTCTCCCTCTTATCTTTTTTCAACCCCGTAGGACCTACTGTCTGTGTCTCTGTTTTTCTGCCTGTCTGTCTCTCTGTCTGTTGGTTAGTCATTCCGTCTTTCTCGTGGTATGGCTGGCTGGCTGGCCGTCTGTCTATCCATTTATATGTCTGTCTGTCTCGCTGCGTCCTGCCCACCTGTCCCCCTGATCAGTCGGTATCAGTCGGTTGGTCATTAGGTCTGTGTGTTCGTCAGTTGGCGTGTCCATCTGTCGGTTGGTCCTTTAGTCCGTTTGTCTGTCTGTCAGTCGCTCCTTTGGTCGGTTAGCTCGTCGGCGTATCCATTCTTCCATTGATTGCATCCGTTGTGGCATCCGTTGTCGCCCATCCGTTTGCCTGCCTGTCTGTCTGTCTGTTCGTCTGTCCGTCTGTCCGTCTGTTTCTGTCTGTCTGTCTGTTCGTCTGTCCGTCTGTCCGTCTGTCTGTCTGTCTGTCTGTCTGTCTGTCTCTGTCTGTCTGTCTGTCTGTCTGTCTGTCTGTCTGTCTGTCTGTCTGTCTGTCTGTCTGTCTGTCTGTGCCATGTTCGAAGACGCCCTGGATTAGTTGTCTGGCGGCTTACTGAGCTGATATGTGTTTGTGGGTGGTGGTCTTTTGCAGTGACCTGCCCGAAGTGCACGTATGGACAAGCTTTCTTCATGCAAATTCAGATCAGATCGGCAGATGAGCCGATGTCGACATTTTACAAGTGCTGTAACATGCAGTGTCAATTCAGATGGAGAGAAGGATGATGGATGAAGTTTGCTGTTTCTCCCTACGCTTGTGCTTTTGTCTGTACATACGCCGGACTCTGCAGAAGATTGAATGTTCGAGGGCGTCGAAATTGCCGTTTGTTCTGCACGAATGGTGTAACGACTGCCCCGCTGTCTCCAACATGGGCTCAGTGAAATTGAATTCTCCGTGAAGATGCGGAGTACCAGCGGCTAGACGGTAAGACCCCGTGCACCTTTACTATAGCTTTGCATTGACAACCTTGATTGAATGTGTAGGATAGGTGGGAGGTGGTCATCAGTGACTACCAAGCTTGAAATACCACTCTTTCATCTAAGGGTGTCTAACTGCCAAAACAATTGGTTTGGTAGAACCTTGCATGGTGGGTAGTTTATCTGGGGCGGATGCCTTATCTGGGGCGCTTACACAGTAATGTTAAAGGCAAATCTGGCTATATGCTGAAACCTCCGCCGAGTAAGAGAGTTACGCAGTGCAGTGTTGTCAGCTTTCTCATATAAATTGCAAACATATGTGATATGTATCTGAATGGATAAATGTCACTGGCTCTCCATATGTCTGCACAATATTGAATGTTTGGAGGTGTCGGAATTGCTTTTTTTTTTTTTTTTTTCTCCCAATTTTTGTTTATTTTTAATTTGGACCATTTCTCGATTTATGCGTGTCATCCTTGTGCAGGGGCCATGCTAATCTTCATTCTCTGTATCATTCCAATTTTAACGGATGTCTCGAAGGACGAATTGCTGTTTGTTTGAGAGAGTTGTCCAGCCTTGTCAGATTTCTCAGGTGAATCTGACCGCAGTTACTTTTTTTTTTTTTTATAAATAAAAAATTTGGACCATTTCTCGATTTTTGCGTGTCATCCTTGCACAGGGGCCATGCTAATCTTCTGTATCGTTCCAATTTTAATGGATGTCCCTCACACGAGAGTATCTGAAATATATTTTTCACTGGCTGTGCATACGTCGGCAGAAGTGATTGAATTTTTTGGGCAAGTGGAATTATCGTTTGTGTGTTTGAGAGAGATGTGCAGTGTTGTTAGCTTTCTCAGACGAATCGGTCGAAATAACTCGTACTCGTTATCTGATCGGTTAACTTTAGTATCCAGAAAGGTCTGCTGAAACATGTTGGGTCGAATTCGGTTAAAGAATCGCGAACTCCCTTCTTCCCCCGAATGAAATGCCCGGTCGTTATCGCTGCATCTGGACTGAAAGTTGTGCAAAATGCACAGCTATAACGACCAGGCGTTTTATTCGGGTGAAGATGGTAGGTGTCAGAACAGAATTCCCTGAAAGAGTCGTGTACATACATTTACTGACAAATATATGATCTCTCTGGGGTTTCCAACCATCTTCCCCCGGGTAGGACACCCGGTCATGATAGCTTTTGTTGGGTAATTTTCGGTCCAGATACAACGAAACCGACCAAGTGTTCTGTTCGGGTCAAGATGGTAGAAAGGTAGGATGCTGGACTGGTTGGTGGATGGCTGATGGAGTGGCGGTTTGAACCACCCCTACTCAAGTGTGGGCGTGACCTTGGCTGCTGCCTCCAACTCAGGGCAAGGCAAAATCGTGCATCGCTTTAAAAAAGCGCAGATAGACTGTTGGTTTCAAAATTCTACTACTGAGAAAATCCATAGGCAGCACTGGGTGGTCAGCGAAGAAAATCCAAAATGCTGACATACCCCTTGACTCCATACCCGCCCTGCGTCCCCCCGCTCTGCCCCCCCACTCCATGTTCTTGTTGAGCCATGGGGAAACACGTACTACACACTGTGATTAACTTTTTGTTTTTCATGGCATGTGTGTGGATGGCAAAGGTTCAAATATGTCTTCCTCTGCTAATTGGGGGAAGTTGTGGGTTGTGGTGGGGCTACGTTGTTGTGCTATCGTATTGTTCTTGTTTGGTTGTGTGATGCATATTGTGTCGTGTGTAAGTGCAGTGAGTGCACTGTGAGAATATGGTGAAGTAGCTTCAGTTTATCTGGGTTTAGGAGCGTGCAGCGTCGATCGCATGTGGAGGGAGCCCTCCCAGTTGTGTCACTCAGGAGTACTACAAATTAGGGGAGAGTGTGTGCAATGCTCTTCACTCCTACCCCTTGCGCCAGCTTGCATCCTGCCTACCGTCTTCACCCGAATAGAATGCCCGGTCATTATCGCTGCATCTGGACCGAAAGTTGTGCCAAACACAGTTATAATGACCGGGCGGTCTATTCGGGTGAAGACGGTAGCTCTGTGAAATGACAGAGCTGAAGGTGCAAGGCTTCAAATTTCCTAACAGGTTGTCATCAGCCTTGGGAGGGCGTAGTATCTCCACCGAGCTACCGATGCATGTATGGGAACTTGTTGCAGACGAGGTACATTGGCTGATGACGTTTGCTCGTTCGTCGATGTGGCATACGCATTTGCGGCGTCTTCGCAAACTTCTTTGCACTTGTTGGTCGGGATGCTGATCTCTCAAGCTTCGGACACAAACAATCGACTACCGTAGGGTGTGATACCCTAGGCCCTTTTACCAACATTTTTTTTTTTTTTTAATGCCGCATGAGTGAACACACTCCCTTATTCCGGTTTCCCCATTCAAAAGCAAAATGTGCAGTACAGTCAAGAAGGATGAAAGAACTGTAATAATCCAAGCGAGAAAAGAGTTGGCACAAGACTCACCAAACACATAAGAGCAACCCATCTCAATATCGCATTACGCACTGTATCTCTGTTTTCTACTTGTGTCCCTCGTCTCATACCAGCCATCGACTGCCAGCCGACCAGTCCTTTGTTGGCATTCTTTAGAACCTCTTTGCAAGCAAACGGTTCCATCAGGCATTCCGGGGACACCACCCGGGGCCCTGCAGACTTATTAGAGGTGCTGCGGACCTATCAGAAGTGCTGCAGACTTGTCAGAAGTTTGTTGGAGGCTTGTCAGAAGGGTTGTGGGCTTATCAGAAGTGCTGCAGACTTGTCAGAAGTGCCGAGTACTTTTCTTTTTTTCGTTGGCCATTTCTTGATTCCTGCGGTGTCATCCTTGTGCAGGGGCCATGCTGTTCTTCGTTCTCCGCACCATGCCAATTTGAAGCACCGGTACACCACATATCGGCCCGCCGGTGCCAGCATGAAACCCGCACCACTTCGGAGGCCGCTGTTTTTTTTCTTCAACGGCAGGCCTGGCCGCATGGCGTGTCCGAGTTTTGCTTGTGGCAACAAAAACTTTCTGCAAGACTGCTGGGGCCGTGTACTAGCTGTTTAACAGATTTCCTGAAGGACAGAAGTGCGTCAGCCGGTCAGACTTATCAGGATCACAGCAGACTTATCAGAACGGTTGCAGACCTGCCAGAAGTACAGAAGATTTATAAGAAGAAGCAGGAGGTTTTTCTGAAATCAACAGATTCAGTTGGAACTCAGCGGGAACTCAGTCAAGGTTCGTCCATGAAACTTGGGCAAGACTTCATCGACAAAAAAAAAAAAGAATCGACAGTCATAAACAGCGCGCAGTGGATTCTGTCAGAACTTCTTAATCACCCCTGACACACAGTGGGCCTTCCTGAGCTATAGCCAAAATTTCGTGAGTTAATTACTGCAGGTATGTGTCTAATACGTAGTAGACTCTCGCGGATCACAGCAAGTATACATGAGGTGCAACAAGGAGATGTGAGAGATCCAGCGAGCGCTTCCAAGTTGCAGCAAGGATATCTGAGATCCAACAAGCATTTCTGAGTGGCAGCAGACAATCCTCAGTTTCAGCCGATATTTCTGAGTCCTAACGGACTCAGTTCAGTCGCAGACGGCACAGTTTAAACTCAACAAAAATTTAATGCAGTTTACTCTCAGCAGATTCAGTCCATTCACAGCTGCAGATGTAGTTTAGTCTCAGCGAACTCTGTTCTCTCCCGGCAGACTGAGTTCATCAACTGCAGATTCAGACTACTCTCAGTAGACTCAGACTCAGTTTAATTACACCAGACTTTGTTCATTCACTCTCAACAGACTCAGTTCATTCACAGCAGACTCTGTTTAGTCTTTTAGCAGACCCACTCAGCTTTCCAGTAGGTCCAGTCATATCTCAGTGGGTTGGATCAGGGCTTGACAGGCGAGGCTTCAACTCGATGGAATCTACAGACTTCAGGATACCTGAAGAGAAGGTTCTAGCTTTCATGCTCGAGGTATGGGGGCGAGGAAAAGAGGATAAGGGGGGATGCCAGTGAAAAATGAGATTTGCGACAATCACTCGATAGGATTTGAACCAAGATCTGAAGATGATTCCTTCTGTCTTACATAAAGGGCGTGGGATTCAGATGCCAAGATTTAACTTTTCTTCGCCCGGTGTAGCATCATGTTCGCGTTCGGTGATTTAATCCGAACGTTTGCGACCGAATGCGAACGATGACCAAAACCCTCCGAACGCAAACATAAATATTTTCTAAAACAACGTTCTTAGAATAATCTGAAAATAATACATGACATACATGTTATGTAAAATAATAATACAAACAACTTTCGCCTGGGAGGTGTGTTCAAATTCGTAACCAAACTCGAGTTAAAAACAACAAACCTAAAAACAAATAAAAAAACAAATGAAAAGACAAATAAAGAAACAAATCATTAACAAATTTATGTTTGACTGAACACGCCCGGGAGGAGTTCGGCTGATCATCCGAACAAGTTTGGGCATTCGGGAAAGCCGCAAACATGTTCGGTGTGCTACACAGTCTTCGCCATTACCTCTCTCTCTCTCTCTCTCTCTCTCTCTCTCTCTCTCTCTCTCTCAGGTTATGCACCACTAATTGAGGACTCTCCCAAATGTGCTTCAAGTAGCCCGAGAGCTTGTTCGCTTTTTCCATAGGTTTCACATCTCTCTCTCGTTCCCTTTCTCTCTCTTCACATAAAGTTAGGGATCACCTGTTGAAGAGGTGGTAGTGCGCCCTTACAGTGTCAAACATGGATCAAATGACTCATGTGCATAATCACCTCTTCAAAGGGTTCTACCTCTCTCCCTCTCTCGTTGTCGCTAAAAACTTTGGCACACTAAGGCCCTGGTTACACTACTCGCCATCCGCCAAGATTTCAAATGCATCTGGGCAAAATGATGTCCACATGCAATCAAAATGTTGGCGGACGGCGAGTAGTGCGACGAGGCCCTAATAACAACCTGGGTAACATCCTGTACGCGTACGCGGTGCGTATGAGTATGTGACCAGAAACCCGCGTACGCGTATGTGTCTTTTTCTTTTTTTTCCCCCCAAAATATATATCTGTTGTGCGAGGCCCTAAGGCTTCCCTTGGGGGGGGGACCTATGTATTCACAATTTACTTTTACACACATACACCCACACACACACCCACACACACACACACACACACACACAAAGTCTGTCTTTCTGTCCATGTGACTGTCAGACAGTTTGACTGTCGCATGTGGACTGCTTAACAGAATGAGTGACGGACAGACAGTCAGACATGACAGACAAACAGATAGTTCGACAGAAGGATAAATGGACAGACGGACAGATGGGCAGACAACTGCCTAAAAACAGCTAAACAGACTGACAGACAACTGCCGACACAGATCGACGAAGATGGTGCTGCAGAGGAGGACAATGATGACGGGGAGGAGGAGGAGGAAGACAACATCCTGGACGAGGAAGACGACGCTGAGGACGACGTCTCTCTCTCTCTCTCTCTCTCTCTCTCTCTCTCTCTCTCTCTCTCTCTCTCTCTCTCTCTCTCTCTC